TCATAATCCCTGTAAACACTGCAAATTATAGTGAATTGTTTCTCGGCTTCCTCCGCCCGTGGTTTTTTTCCCGTTTTGGGTTTCCACGTAAATTCCTGTGTCTCTATTCTATTTATTTTATTCGTATTTCGTTGTGATTATTACGCTTTGATAATTTTTGATCCCATTCCGCATTGAGCTAATATTATTTAAGTCTATTCGGATCCTTCGTATTTCACAACATCACAATTTGGTGACACAAGCAACTCGTAGAAAGGAGTAATAAATCGATCAATAATGAGTAAAACGATCACAAATTCGAGATGTATAGAATATGCATTTGAGGAAAAGGTTAGAACAGAATGTTATAAAGTCGGATCGATTACCTGAGAAGAATAACGAAAACATGAATGCTGGAATTAAAGTGCAGCTTCAGTCGATGATACATCCGTTTCAGCCTTCATATAATCCACTTTGTTTCAAAATTTAAATGCCATATCTTATAATTCAACTTGTTCATCTTTGATTACATGATTCTCATCTCCGGAGATCTTTAGATCATATTTAATTCATGGCGGGAAGGAAGATGGATCGTAAAAACTAAAAAATTGTTCAAATAGTTAATCGCAATTATCAGGAATCGAGGGAAAATCGAAATAAAAGTGAAAATTCAACCTATTTTTGAAATTGGTAATTAAGAAGAAGCCCAACAACATATTTTCGTAGACTAAACTACTTACCATGAAGCCCAGTTCGTATGCTACAATAAGAGGTGCACAAAAAATACCGGTTTTTTTAAAAATCGATTTTCTATAAACCGGTTTTTGTTATAAAAGATTTGGCTTTTTTGCTTTTTATTAAGTGAATTTGCCTTAAAAAAAGGTTGTTTTCGGTTAAAAACTGGTTTGGTTTAGTTTGGTTTTTTAGAAAAATTAGAAAAAAACAGTTTTGATTTTTTATAATAACAGATTTTTAATCGGCGATTTGATTTTAACCTACCTCGCTCTCAAAAAAACTGGTTTGGTTTTTCTTTTTCTTTTTTTGACAAAAAAAAAAATCAGTCTTGATGTGCATCTCCAGCTACAATTAGAGATGCACATATATCGGTTTTGTTTTTTTTAAACTCGGTTTTCTCTAGACCAGTTTCAGTTATAAGCATAAAATTTTTAGCTTTGATGTCTCGACTTTGTGGGATTGTAAGTCAATGAATATGAAATCAAAAATGACAAAATTATAGTTTAAAATCATGTACAAACTCTAAACTACACGTTGGAATAAACTGTGTGCTAATACGACTTCAAACGGATTAGATATGCATGTTTTAAAACTTTTGCAGAATACAAAAAAACTGAAAAACTGAAAATTTCTAGTTTTGATATCCCGACTTTGGGGGACTGTAAATCAATGAATATGAAACTGAAAATGACAAAATTATGGTCTAAACTCATGTACAAACTATAAACTACATTCTGGGAAAAAAAACTCATACTGATCCAACTTCAAACAAATAAGATATGCATGTTTTAAATTTTTCACAGAAATCCGTCCGGTTTCTAACACTAGTTCCGGTTCTTCAAACCCGGTTTACCCGAAACTGAAGGACCTAAAATTTGGATTACCCAGAACCCGGATAAAGCTATTCTTTAAACCCGAAACCCAGACCGGTTCTAGATATTCTGGTTCTAACGGTTCCAGTTCCGGTTCCAGTTTGGTTTTTTGGTTTTAAATCACATCCTTACTAAAAGAGTCGTCAAGGAAAAACATATCATAGATGGTAGAACAATGAGTTCTATTAACCGTTATCACCTCCGATTTCTTGTTTCTTCTTCTTCTTCTTCCAACTTTACCAATTTCGGTCATCATGTAGAAGCAAAGAAAGTTGTGTCTAGGGATGATTAACAAACCATTAACAGGAGCAACAATGGTAGCCTTCATGGTTTCCCTTCTCTAAGTCAAACCAGTAGCAAAAAGATTTTTGTTGGAGGTTTACGCCAACAGGCAGAGAACTCAATTTAAAGAACTGTTTTGATCACTTTGGGTAGGGATGTCAATGGGGGCAAACGCCAAACGAAATTCCCCAGCCCCTGAAATCTCCAGCCTTCCCACTTCCGCTCCCGCCCCCGATTGATTTTGGGTTGTGTTTTTTTTTTTTTTTTTGCTAAAAGAAGTTGTTGTTTGAGTTAACAAATAGTGTTATTTATAGTATAATTTTACATATTAAAAACAAAATGTTACGACATCTCATAACCATTATACTAACAACTTAAAAACATGTTTTTTGTT